TCACCTGGAACACTGGAGTGTTATCTTCGGGCCAGGACCAAGTCCTACTCTTTGGGGAGGAGAGTGCTGAGTGAGGGAGTAAGTGTACTTTTGGGTGGAGGTATTAAGTACTGGCCCAGGTAAGTTCTTCCCACTACCCCGGCTGGACTCTGGGCCTGGGCTCTGGCCAGCACAGCCCTGTCACCGTCTCCAGGCCTTTCCATTAGCCCTTACTGCCACTCACATGCACTGGTGCGCTGTCAGAGGGACCCAGGTTAAGTGATGTCAAAAACCACAGAGCTTTGGGGGAAAATACATGACTGGTTTATATGTGTTTCCTTCTGAGTTGTTTCATTTCCTCATTCATCTTTCCTCAGCAGAAGCCACCCCCGGTTTATAGATAACCCCCAGCCCACAAAAGAGGCTTTGACACTTTGCTGCACCTCTCTATGGCAACTACTGCTGCCATGGAAACCACAGGGATGGAAAAGATCAGGACAAACAAATACTGGGGCTGACTTACGGGGTTTGGACGTTCAGGAGCGAGGGGATGAAATCAACTGTGAAAACCAGGAACATCTGAGGGGGTTTGAGAGAAGCCTCCCAAGCAGAGCCAGACTAAACATAAGGCAACTGCCCTGTTCTACTGCGTCCTGCCCCAACAGGAATCTTTCCCTTCCACTGGCTCTGCTGCCTCAATACAAATCAGAGATGCTAAAAAGCATCTTCTCTAAACTGTATAAATAACTCTGGACCAGTCGAAAGTCTGCTAGCTAATGATGATCGCGCACGACTTAGCTCAGTGAAAAGCTTCTAGCAAATCTTTCATGGCCATCAGCTGCACCGGCCAAGAAAGAGCTTGGGCTGAGCGAATAGTAAGTTACATGTATTTGGGAGATGAAGCACTCAAGGGGTGTGTCTTTGGAGTGACAGGAGAGTATGCGTGTAAGACAGGACAGCAAAGGGAAATAGTGGACAGAGCAGGGACGTGACTGGTGGCTGCTGGGAACCGGACAGACATCCACCCACCACATGTAAGCATCTGAGGCAGTTTCCGAAAGGATCACTCAGCTCTACTGCAATATGGGAACTAGTCCAGAGAGGAGGCAGAGTGAACAAAGACGCCTAAGGAAGAGACATCGTGTGGTGAAGCACGGGACAGCCCTGCCATTGCAGATACGATCCTGTGTGCCAGACTGGCCTGGGACCCTGGGACATTGACAAGTCATAGCGGACAGCATTTTTTAGACACATATTTTGCTGTGTTGAAACAATTCACTGAAGCACTGCCTTAATGAGAAAAATAAATGTATGTCTTATATTGACATAGACCAACCTAGCTTTGTAAAATATCTTCACTTGAGTTGGACTTGAAAGTCTTCATTCGGGCCCAGCACAATAGCCTAGTGGCTAAAGTCCTTGCCTTGCACACGCCGGGATTCCATATGGGCATGGGTTCTAATCTCGGCATCCCTGCTTCCCATCTAGCTTCCTGCTTGTGGCCTGGGAAAGCAATCGAGGATGACCCAAAGCCTTGGGACCCTGCACCCACATGGGAGACCCGAAAGAGCTCCAGGGTCCTGGCTTTGGATTGGCTCAGCTCCAGCCACTGTGGCCACTTGGGGAGTGAATCATTGGACGAAAGATCTTCCTCTCTGTCTCTCCTCTTCTCTGTATATCTGCCTTTCCAATAAAAATAAATAAATCTTTCTAAAAAATAAAGAAAGTCTTCATTCTATCCTTTTTTTTTTAAGATTTTTTTTTTTATTGGAAAGTCAGATTTACAGAGAGAAGGACAGAGAAAAAGATCTTCCATTTGCTGATTCACTCCCCAAGCAGCCACAGCAACTGGAGCTGATCCAATCTGAAGCCAGGAGCCTCCTCCAGGTCTTCTACACAGGTACAATGTCCCAAGGCTTTGGGTCATCCTCTACTGGTTTCCCAGGCCACAAGCAAGTAGCTTGATGGGAAGTGGGGCTGCCAGGACACAAACCAGTGCCCAAATGGGATCCCAGTGCATGCAAGGTGAGGACTTTAGCCATTAGGCTACAGCACCAGGCCCTCCCTTATCTGTCTCCTCCTTCCCAAGACAGAAAACGCAAATGAGCTTGGCCACTACTGGAGCTCAGCCATATGGTATGCATGGAGTTAACCTTGTGACCTTGCAAACTCCGGGAATACAGCCATAGTTTATGACCTTGTTCCTATCAGGGATAACTTGAATGCAGTATAGGTGAGGTCTTCAAAACACTGGTGGAAATGCAGATTAAGTAAAACCCAACAAAATGAGCTTACCTTTGAATTCCATTTTCCCTCAAACTTTCTGAAGTACTTTCACATTTAGCCTATACCTAGCATAATATTCCACCAGGACTTTTGGCTCCAAATTTGCTGCTGCTTTTCCCATTGGCTGCCTATTCAAGCAGCTAGTTTCTTGTGTCTCATTTCATCCATGTAATTATGCCATAAGCACCTGCTATGCACCGGACACAGTAAGACCTTTCAGGGCACTGGCAGCACACAAGGCAGCCACAAATCTGCTCTCATGAATACACTTGGCAGTGGGCTAGGATGGCTCTAGGCCTGCACGCAGGGACCATGAAGGCCATGTTTGACAGTAGTGCCTCTTATAAGTCCTACTCAGTGTCTAACCATCCCAGGACATGCGGACTGTAGCTTGAAGGCAGAGCCCGCAGAAGGCCAAAGGAAGTTCCCGCAAGCTCATCCACAAGAGTGACCCAATCCCCACATCAGACAAGATGCTTGAGTCACTCAGACGATGCCTCTATCCACCCTCAGGCAATTTCAAACCATCCTCTTGATAGATGATGACCGCTGACTGCCTGCCCGCCCACTGGTGGAATAATATCAGCAAGTTGTCCAAAGTTGTAACAGAAGCTTTATTGGAAAATCCGCTTCTGGGCCCCCTTCATGCAGAGTGGAGGGAAGAAGGAGGAAGTGAAAAGGGTGGCTGAGATACGTGTTGGGGACACAGGGGCTGGCAAGGAGCTGTCTATGTCCTAATCAGGCAAGGAATGTCCGTTCAGGTGTGCCATTGTTTGCTGGAATCCTGTCAGGCCGGTGATGTAACTGGTTCTTGTGGCCCCTCCTGCTCCAGGTTAAAGCCTGGGCAATGTTGTGGATCTGGAGTGGACGCAGCCCATTGCCTCCAGTGCCCTGGGTGGCCATCACCTCTAGTCCATCAGAGGTGCCACTGCTGCCCTCTCCTCCAATACCTGCGCTAAGGGAGGAACACACCACTTCCTACCTAACCCAGATCCCTATGCCCACGGCATTGCCAGATCTCAGGAATTCCTTGGAGGAAGGGAAGAACGCTCCTTTTCGCTGCTCTTAAATCTCCTGCTAGAGAGCTGCCTTCCCACCTTCAGGTGTTTTCCATGTTTGAGACAGGAAAGAAAGTGAAAGATATGCAGTCCATCCAACTTCACAGGGACAGATCAGTTTCAGATCACTGGTTAACTGTAGGAATCTTCTATTCAAGTTGAGCCTGGGGGTGGATGGTTGGCTCACAGAATGACACCCAAATCCCGTAGCAATCCCTGGTTGAGTTGAGATTCCAGTTTCCTAGTAGTGTGCACTTTGGGAGGTAGCAAGGGCTGGTTCCAATACTTGGATCCCTGTCTCTCTCAAGGGAGTCGCCAGCTCCTGGCTTCAGCCTGGCCCAGCCCTAACTAATGCAAATGTTTGAGGAATGATCCAATGGGTGGAAGAATCTTTTTTTGTTTGTTTATATCTCTTAATTCTGTGCTGTAAATAACACTGGTCTATCTCCCTGCCTCAACAGGATGAAAATTAATCCCTGATAAACATACGGGCAACATCCAATTTCTCTTTTCATGAGTAGCAAGTGAATTTACAGCTTAGTCTGTGGGTATCCTGAATGGAGACAGCATTCCCCAGCCTCTCATGAGACGGGAGGATTGAATTCTGGCCAACAAGAGATTGAATGGGGACACCTTGGACTGTGGGGTTAAAGGATGGCACAGTGAAAAATTGAGAATTTGACTCCCACACTCAAGACTAGTTGAGACTCTACTGCCTGTGTGCAGTGGAGTGCAGTAGAGAAATTTGTTCCATCCAGTTTAAGACAACCAAACTGTATCCTCACTAATGTTCCCCTCTACCTTCAGGTCTTCCTGTTGGAATTCAAGGAAGCTTCCTTCTTGTTCTGTAGGGGCATCCATACCCTAGAGATAAGGATTATAGAACAGAGATCACATCTTGCATTGTAAGAATTTTTGCCAAGTCCTAAGTTTGGGTATCCATCATTCTTTCAAATCTTAATGATAGAGTCACTAGAGCCAGAGCCAGCATTGTGATATCAAGGGTTAAGCTACTGCTAGGACATTGGCATCCCGAATTGGAGTACTGGTTTGAATCCCAGATGCTGCACTTCCCATCCATCTCCCTACTAATGCCCACGAGAGCAGAAGATGGCCTAAGTGCTTGTGGTCTTGCCACTCATAAATGAGATTCAGAATGAGTTCTGAGCTTCTGACTTCCACTTGGCTCAGCCCTGGATGTTCTGACCATTTAGGGCATAAACCAGCAGATGGAAGATTCTCTTTCTCTTCCCTTTTCCCGACTATAGCTTTCCAATAAATAAAATAAATCTTCTTAAAAAATTGAGTCTACAGGGCCCGGCGCAGTGGCGCAAGTGGTTAAGGTCCTCGCCTTGCAAGCCCGGGATCCCATATGGGCGCCGGCTCTAGGTTCTATCCCGGCAGCCCCGCTTCCCTTCCAGCTCCCTGCCTGTGGCCCAGGAAAGCAGTCGAGGACGGCCCAAAGCTTTGGGACTCTGCACCCGTGTGGGAGACCCGGAAGAGGCTCCTGGCTTCAGATCGGCATAGCATCAGCCGTTGCGGCCACTTGGGGAGTAAATCACCGGATGGAAGATCTTCCTCTCTCTCTCTCCTCTCTGTATATCCTCTTTCCCAATAAAAAAAATAAATAAATAAATCTTTGAAAAAAAATTGAGTCTACAGACCATTAAGCATTTGCAGGTTTTTATTATTTTAATATTAAAACTTTGAAATCTTAAAATTGGTTAATCTTATAAAAAACGAACCATATATTTGCTTTTATACATTATATATGCACTTGAGAAATAAATAGTCTTCTGTGTTTTTTTTAAAAAAAGCATCATATATACAAATAAGGCTTCAAGTCAAATGTATAAATACACAACCCACTGAGGAGTCACTTCCCAAATCATCCATTACTAACAACGGAAGTAACCAGGAGGCATAGCCAACCGCTCAAGCATCCCTCAGAAGAGAGAACAGTCAAGGAAACCTAGGAGTCAGCCAGCATCACTGGGAACACACTTCGAACTGAAACTCAACCAGGAATGTCTGCAGAAGTTTGGCATTATGCACTGATACAACTTTGGCACAGCACAGGTTAAAATAGTGTCTTTGTAAAGCCAAAGTATAAAGGAAATCACTCTCCCTCCCACATCTGCTGTCATATCTCCTCCCAAATCAATCTCACCCCTAAAAAGCCCAGCCCATTGGCACAGGTGTCCTCCTGGTTACACGTTAATAAAAGGGTTCAGGGTTGTACCGATGGCTCTGAAAACAAGTCTTGATTTCTCATAATCAGGACATGCTGGTGACAAGGGGCTGTGGATGGTTTCACAAAGTTTCAGAACCATGAGCTTTGACTCCAGGCTCTGGATCCTCTGCTCAGTTCCAGCACCTCAACTCCACTTAGAATTCCCAGCATGTGGCCACACTTCCCCATACCCCAGTTTTGTGAAATTGGGTTAATCATTGTTGCCCTGGTGCCCTCCTTCCACTTGGGTGATGCCTGGGCGGACCTACTGAGAAGCATAAAGAGAACTTCTCAAAGATTGTGTCTATATCCCACCAGAATCTAGACTTGGAGGTTTGACTGAGAAGTGCAACACAGAATAGGCAAAGATAAGAAAGCAAGGAAAATATTGCATTAAGTCTTTGATCCAGCTGTGGTTAACAAATTTGAACAGATGTGTGGAATATGTGTAACACCTGCCATCCCCCTAAACAGAGGATATTTCACACCTCAACAAATATGTCCAACAACAGAGCCCAGCACATACACTGCTCTGCCTGCTAGCCTGTTGCTAATCACAGATCTCTCCTGCGGTTGATGACATGCATCACTAAGAGAGTGGGTGGAAACCACCCACAACCTCAGGACCTCATTCAGGCTGTGGCCCTGTCACATGTGTGTATGGGCTCATCACCATCTGAACTGGAAGAAGTTCTGGAACTCCACCCCCACAAAGTAACAAATTAGGAGAGAGGACCTGGAGAGCTGTAGTAACACATCTATCTCACTAATCAATCTTCAGTGCTAATCAATCTTCAGTGTTCCCTAAACATTTGTTCAATCAGAAAACAAACAAATGAAAAATAAGAAAGCCAAAGTGTGTGTGTGTGTGTGTGTGTGTGTGTGTGTGTGTGTAGGTGGGGGTAGACAGAACAGAATGCCTAAGTTTTAAACCAGCATGGATCAGTGTCAGCAAAGATCTGGGCTGCAGTTGGAACCCACTACCCACTCTCTGAGTGACCTTGACTTGAGTCGACTCCAATGGACATACTTGTTGCTGAAGCCCAAGTCACATCAAGAAGTTGACAGTGTGGCCCACAGAGTCTTCTGTGAGCCAACATCCAGTGTCAGGCCAAGCCTAGCTCACCCAGCTTCTGGGAAAACTGTCCAAAGTACACAGGAGACCTCAGTCCTCCTGCCACTCTCTCTTTCGCACACACACCGCATGGAGGGAGGGTTAGAATTAAGAGCTGGTCTAGAGCAACCACAATGTCTATAGCAATGCAGTCCTCAGAAGCAAGAAGTTGCAGCAGTCATGGGGTACGAAAGCATGGGCCAAGCCGGCAGGTTGCTCCTGGTACTCCAAGTTCAAGGCCGAGAGGCAGGTTCTTTCTTCAGGTGGGTCCTCAGCAGTAACTTTTCTCCTTGCACATGGCCAGCAGGAATGGGGTGCTTACTGGCAAGGCTGTCCCAGCACCCTCAGGGCAGCTCCATAGTTGGACTGCAAGGAAGCAGGTTCATTAGCTCACTCACCAGCCAACTGCAAAGCCATGTCCAGGTCCACCCTGCCCACCACAAAACCAGCTTTGGGACATACCTGCCTGACTATTCCATATGATTGGCACTACTTTTGCCCTCCACCCAGCCAGACTCATCTTAAGAAATGCCACCCAGGAGCCCTGTCTGCACCCTTAGTTACACACGGCACAAGACCACACACAACCCAGCACCCACCTGCTGCTCATGTACAAGCAACTCAGTGATATGGAGAGAAGTGAATAGGTGTTCTCTCGGTCTACACCAAGACATCCAAGCACAACTGAGAGCCATGAGACCTGGCTGCTAAGCCAGCCACCCAACAGTATCCCTACACCTGTCTGAACCCAGACTCTTACTGGAGAGCAGATAAATATGACCCACACCTGAAGGGAGGCTCCTGAAGGGGCTACTTGCATATCTCAGGATAATGACAGCAGCATATCATAGGCGCTTCGCTAGACTAAGCTGCTTCAGGAGCTGGCCAGGTACCAAGCCCTTCAGGGCCCTGGTCATGGTGCTGTGGCAGCATGTATGCTCCCAGTCCCCAGCCAGAGCACAATTGCTGGGTGCATCCCAGCCTTGGGGTTAACGGATATTTAATCACAGGGGAGCAGCCCAGGGCAGAGGCCCAACTGCTTGGTAGTTGATATCAAGGTGGAAGGGAGGGGCCCCAAGGGAACCAGCAGAGCCTTCATGCTCAGGGGCTGAATCCAGAGTGGACTGAGTTGCTGGCAAGCCTCCTTTGGCCATCGCCAATCGGGAGAGGGACTTCCCCACCTTCACCCCACCTGGGGCCTCAGGTTTCTCAACTGCACACAGGGATGACAACACGTGCCTCCTGGGGCTGGTGAGGAAGCTCAGGGTGGGTTGGGGTAGAGTACAGGGCACACGCTTAGCAGGCAGCAGGGGGAATGGAAGAGGGTTTAGCTGTCCCAGGGGAGCCCTCTGTCTCACACCAAAACATGGGACTTTTCCAGTCTGTAGCTGCAGGCACAGAGCAGGGGACCCTGGTGCCACACACCCTCTGTGCTGTGCATTCTCATTTCTAAAAAAATCCAAGCATCAGACCCACTCTTATCCACACATACCAACATGGCTTCCAGAAAGCCTGAAAAAGGAATTCATTTCTCCTTTCGTTTGTTGTTACCCTCCTACCCCACCCCACCACACCCCAACCCCACTCCCACTTGGTGCCTAGAAGGAAGCAAAAAATCCGGAAGCTTCCAGCAGCCCAGGCTACTACAGACTAGATCAGCCTGTGAAGAGAGGCGTGGGCATCAAACATAGGGATTTAGTTGCAACAAAGACCTCACCCTACCAAGCCCATGCGCAAGGAGCACCTGCAGGATGAGGCAGAACAAGGGATGCTTGACCCCTGGTTCCACATCCTCACTCTCACTTGCTCCAGCAGCAAGTGGCTTTGTAAAGGAAGAGAAGGTCACCTGCTTTGTTCATACTGTGCCACAAGTGCCTGGGTCCCTGCCCTGCCATGCTAGGCAACCCGGCACCTGTGCTGGATGTGACACCTGAGAAAGCACTGCTTACCTGGTTTCATTTTTCATTCTCCAGCCATCCTGACACTTGTGAAACCACAGTTCTTGGCCTGGGGATATGGTGGAGCTCTCGGGGTTCTCGGCACAAAACGTCAGTCTAGGAAGAAAAGGGGAAATCCCTGATAGAGCCTCTGGAGGGATCTGACAGTGCTATCTGGATTCGCAGCTGATTTGAGGGGATAGAGGGAAATTTCCACCCGCGGGTCCTCCTGGGGCTCCAACACCTCTCCCTCAACTGATCAGCAAGTCAAAGTCGAAGGCAAAGCAAAGGACAGCTACAAGCACAAGAAAGAATCAGGATCTAAGGCCACTGCACAATGGCTCAGTGACTAAATCCTTGGCTTGCATATGCCAGGATCCCATATGGGTGCTGGTTCATGTCCTGACTGCTCTACTGCCCATCCAGCTCCCTGCTTATGGCGTGGGAAAGCAACAGAGGATGGCCCAAGGCCTTGCACCTACATGGGAGATTTGGAAGAAGTTCCTGGCTCCAAGCTTTGGATTGACTCAGTTCCAACCATTGTGACCACTTGGGGAGTGAACCAGTGAATGGAAGATCTTTCTCTGTCTCTCCTTCTCTATATACCTCTGCCTTTCCAATAAAAAATAAACAAACTATTAAGAATTAGAGTCTAATCTCCACTCCATAGCCACAGCCTCACTGGGACTTGACAAATTTGGCTCCACAAAAATAACCCATGAGATTCCTGAGGTTGAGGTTGGCCAAAGCCACACTTGGCATAAGTTAAAATCCTTCCCCATGGGGCCTGGCGTGATGGCATAGAGGTTAAGGTCCTTGCCTTGAATGCGCAGAGATTCCATATAGGCTCCGGTTCTAATCCCGGCAGCCCCACTTCCCATTCAGCTCCTTGCTTGTGGCCTGGGAAAGCAGTGAAGGACAACCCAAAGCATTGGGACCCTTCACCCACCCACATGGGAGACCTGGAAAGAAGTTGCTGGCTCCTGGCTTCAGATCGATGCAGCACCAGCTGTTGCGGCCACTTGGGGAGTAAATCATTGGATGGAAGCTCTTCCTCTCTGTCTCTCCTCTCTGCCTTTCCAATAAAATAAATAAATCTTTTTTAAAAAAATCCTTCCCCATGAACTATACTGTTTACAGATGCACTCATGAGGGAAGATGATTCCTTCACACAGCTGGCAGGGCACCCAGCCACAGCTGACAGAGGAGAAAGGAAAGAGGGAGCCTTAATCTATGGCTAAGGCTAAAATTGAGTCCGACCATTTGGAGGTATAATGACACAACATCTGGTCAGGCTGGGGAATGGATCTGCATCATTCAGTGATCCCACAATTCTTTTTTCAAAGATTTATCCATTTGTATTGGAAATGCAGATCAGATTGATGGAACAGAGAGACAAGAGAAAGATCCTCCATCTGCTATCTCACTCCCCAAATGGCCAAAATGACCAGAGCTGTACTGATCCAAAGCCAGGAGCCAGGTGCTTCTTCCAGTTCTGCCACATGGGTGCAGGGTCTCAAGGCTTTGGGCCATCCTCTACTGCTTTCCCAGACCACAAGCAGGGAGCTAGATGGGAAGCGGAGCAACAGGGACACAACCTAGCTCCCATATGGGATTCCAGTGCTTGCAAGGCAAGGATTTAACCATTAAGCCATCACACTGAGCCCAGCCATCCCACTTTTTCCAGCACATGCACAGAGGCCCTTCCCATGCAAGGGCTAGACAGTATACAAGCATGGTCCTTTCAGTACTATCAGTTACTACAGAAGGACACCAGCGACTTAAACAGTCCCAGTAATCACCTACTTACAGGCTTTATAAATCAATAAACTCCACACGTGCACACATTTGACCATGCTCAAAGGAAGAAGATAGCTCATGAAATATATTCACAGGTAACATTTGGAAAATCCCCTCATACATTGTTTAAAGAGACAGACAGAAGGGCTAATGGTCTAAACCCAAGATGGAAGGAAACGCTAACACGGGTTATGATAGAATCTGGGTTATGATTGTTATGAAACAGGGAGAGGAAGGGGGACAGGAAAAGCACAGAGGATGCTCAACTCTGCAAGGTTCTGAGAATCTTAGGTGAGAGCTTATTCTATTTATACCACACTCATGGACACGGGGTGCTCTGATAGGAGCCCAGACAAGTAGAGGGTTCCCAGGCCTCTAGTCCTCAGGCTAGCACCTGCCATGCACAGGGTTCTAGACCAGAGTCAATAGGCTAAGGATGCAATCCTCCACCCTCTTTTCCTCTGCTGCCATGCTGGGTGAAAATGCAACAAGGTTTACAATGGGGACAATGATGGCTGAGGGACAAGGCAGGTGGAAGCTGCTTTCTCCCATCTTAGAGCTAGGAGTAATATCTCCCAAGGTTAGCCGGTGGACCCACGCTAAAGGAGAATCAGCGTTTCTTGACAAAGGTCTCCCACGCTTGTCCAGCTCTATACCCTTCCTGGTTTCTATTTAGAGACGAGTCTGTTCCCAGAGGCAAGGCCTGGGCTCAGGCACCGATACATCAACTCTGGGTCTTTCATGCTACACTCAGGGTACAAAGAAATGGGGCAGCTGCCAGCTGGCACAGCATGTGGAATTCTCTGTAACTTGAAGTTAGGGTCCCCGCCCCAAGTCCTTGACTCACGGCCTCTGGAGGAGAAACAATGATGCTGTGAACATGAGATTCTGGGGTGAAAGGGAAGAGAATGGGACTACGAGTTCACCCCAGCCATGAAACTCCTGTATTCTGCTCTGGGCAGAAGAAAAGCCCAGCAGTTGCATGGGCCTCAGGGTAAACAGAACAACCAAAGTGCCTTGGCCTGGGAAGTCCCTTCCTCCAGGCTGCTCTGGGGGTGCAAGTTTAATAAAGGAAAGGACAGGACAAAGTACTGGCCGGCGCCCCCCACCCAAGACACCTACCTCCGCTGTGTTTCCCCAGACTTGACCCGGATGCGCCTGATACTCAACTCCTGCTCGGGTCTAGGGGATCCGGACAGATAGCTGCGAAACTCCCTCCACAGGTTGTACCAGGATCGAGACGTCCCCTCCCAGGTAAGTTTGATCTTCAAGAGGTCTCCCAAGTCCTCCTCAGTGTAGACCAGGAAGGTGTTGGTGGCGTTGAGCCCAAATTTTTCTACTCTGCGAGGTGAAAGTGTAGAGACTCTCACTCTTCTGCCACCCAGAAAACCATCACACTGGACCGAAGAGAGGGAATGGCACCACCCCATCCCTACTTTAGAGAAATATGTGCATGCTCCCTCCCCTGCCTTCAGCCCTTGCAGGGCTCAGCTGTCCCACATGGACAGAGAGATGGCATGGTCCACGGCTCTCTGACTTCTGATCAAAACCATAGGACCAAGGAAATGCAGACATGAGAAAGCACAAAAAGTCATATCTGCTCCATAGTAAGCTGGTCCCATCTGCCCACGAGCAGGTCCTTCCCCAATCCCAGCTGCCCTGCCTGCTCCCCTCCTCTGCCACCAGGGATATGTGACTGTGAGTGTACAATGAAGCCCCGAGAAGAACATGCCTTACTGGTGTTTCTTCACAAGCCAAACATTACTTAGCATGGAACTCCACCAAAGCATCTATGCTGCTGTGTCCCCTCTCACAGCTGCGTGATTAGAAAGGAGACATCATAAGAATGTCACTCATGAAGGGCCAAGTTGCCTAAAGCCTCCGAGGGCAGGGACTGCCTGAAAGGAAACCACAGTCTCCACCCAGCTGATACAGCAGCTTCTCACATGACTGAGTCATTCCAGGAGCTTCCCCCCACAATGCTCAGAGCCAACGGCTTGGGGAAGCACACACAGGGGAGAGAGGGTGAGCGCAGAGCCAACTAAACCACCCAGCTCCTCCCTGTTCTCCCAGGCTCCCTTGCACTCCCTCATCTTCTTTTTGTTTGTTTGTTTGTTGCATTTTATGACATAGTTTCATAGGCTCTGGGGTTCCCCCAATCCCTCCCCCTGTCCTCCCCCCATGGTGGAATCCTCCACCTAGTTGCAGTGTTACAGTTCAAATCAAGTCATGATTCTTCCATTGCAAGCATGTACCATGCATAGAGTCCAACCTCTTATTGTCCAGATAGATTCAGCACACTCCCTCATCTTCAAACCAAACCTGCTCTCAGCCTCAGATGCAGAAAAGGTAGTACAGGACTTACATCTCCAAACGTAGACTCTGGGACTCAGCGTTGGTACCATAGAGGGTGACATAAAAGTTGGGGTCGATTTCTCCCATGTTCTTGTAGCTGAAGAAGTGGATTTTCATCTGATAATGGTAAACTACAGAGACAGCAGAACAAAGACACCTGTGAGTCTTTGCTTGTCACTGCAGGGCACCCCCCCCCCCCCGCCCACACCAAGAGGTTAGGGATTGACTTTGGTCCAGCCTCACCTCCAACCTCCCTCGGTCCTACCCTGTCTGAAGGCAGAAGCCAATGCAGTACAGACGGAGAAGCCTTGAACTTTGGGGGTCAGGAGACCATTTGTGAATTTTGCTACTTTCTATATCCAGGGTGACCCCAGATTAAGGACCAAGAACTTGGCTTTCCAAAGCCTCAACTTTCTCACATGTAAATTAAAACCCTCGAAGCCTCATGACTTCATAACATGCCATGAAATTGGTTCCCTGTTCCTCCCACCTCAAAGTTAATGTGATGAGGAAACAAATAGGGAACTGTTATAAAAAGTTAAATGCAGAACAAAATTTTTAAATATTGATGTTGTGATCATAGAGTGATATTCACATCACAAACACATTCAATTTTCCAAGATTAGCTTTCCTAGGGGATGTAAAACTTGCAAAATTCTGATGTATTCATTCTGGCCCTGGCTCCTAGGCTAGGTTGCACCCTGCCCTGCACCATGTGCTTAGAAGTCGAATGCGCACTTTAGGGGCTGAAGGTTACCTCTGAAAGGCATGCCTGCCCGGGTCTTCAGGTACATTTTACTGTTTCTCTTGTTCCTCATTTTCTTAGCATTGTAGCCAATGTTGTTACAACGGTTCTTCCTGCAGCTGAGACAAATCCCCTTTTTGAAGCGGTTGGAGTCACTGCACTGGAAGGCAAAGCTCGGCTTATCCTGGTTCACCAGGGAGTCGACAAAGAGATGGACGGCTCGCTCATGCTCACACTTCACCAGCTCCGAGACTGCTGGGACAGGCAGAGAACATGCAGGATGAAGCTTTCTGGATGACCAGCCACTCAGTCAATAAATACCACATGTTTCATCAATAAGAGCTAAGTTTGATGTTGCATTTGTATGATTCCTACAAATGCCCAGTGTTGTGGTAAGATCCTATTAGCACATGACCCACTGGCCCATAAAGGTGAGGAGATCTGCTAAAGGCCACAGACAGTTGCTTGCAAAAATAGGAATGCAATTTGTATTTTCTGATCTGTGGTACTTCCTTCTTTTACCCTCAGGCTAAATCCAAGAGCTCAAGTAATACCTGGGAACTTAAGAGCTGTTTGGCAAAGCAACCTCTATGCCATCCCTACTGGCACCATGAACCTTAAGATATGCTTTCAGCCCTCTGCCGGAGCTAGAGTGAATTTCCTTGTACCCTGCATGCTCTGCAGGGTTACCCTGGCGTTAATCCCACTGGGAGAAAAGGACGAACACTGAGTGGATAGTGTGACATCCAACGGACAAAGCATCAGAGGGAAAAAAGTAAAGCTGAACCAGGACTCAGGAAAGCTCCCAGCCTCCAGATCAATGACAGCAAAGGCTGCACAGAGACATGTGCTGCAGCAAGTTCAGTCCAGCCCAAGTCTGCTGAAAACAGACACAGGTTGTCAGATGATACATTAGGAGGAAAGAGAGTTGCTTTTTTTAAAAATGTTACCAAACATTGAAGAGTGTATCTCCATTGTGGAATACCACACAGCCTATAAAAAGAGCAGTTAACAGGTGTATATGCCCTGACATTTAAGAATACCCACAATATATTATGGCTGAAAAAGGAAACTTTCAGATCAATGTGAGTTTTAAATGAATATGATAAAACACACACATATAAATTTGTAAAGAAAAGAAATTAGAAGGATGCATCCAAAAGTGTCTGTGTCCTTACTGGGTACCTTTTAAGAGGAAAGCAAGAGGAAATGTGAAGGAGCAGCTTTACCTTTTGCTTTACGCAATTCTGTATGGCCTGACTGTGTGTGTGTTTTGTTTGTTTGTTTACAAACATCCATGTATTCCTTTTGTTGGAAATATAAATGAATCAGTAACAAGCATACCCTCAAACCATGAGCAGCCAGAACAGAGCCCACCACCAGCTCACTGCAGAAGTAGAGCATGCCAAGACATGTGAACCACATGTTAGAGGCCCACTCGGCCAAGGTGGGAAGAACATGAATGGCATCAGGGGCATGCACACCTCCATCTACGTGTCTAGGAGGAGTTGGGATCAGCTGAGGCACACAGGAAGCAGAGATAAATGCACTCACGTCCGTAGGCAACGGACCCCAAGACGTCATTGAGGCCGCAGCCCGGCTGGAAGTCGCCCCCATTGGGGTAGATATCAATGTGGCCCACGGGCATCTGAATACCGATGCTGAGGCCGAAGGAACGCGTGTAGGTGTGCAGAACGTCCACGAAGTCAGCATCATCTGGGGAGAGTCGCTTGTGGATGTCCACACCTTCAAACATGGGCCCAGCAGGATCCAGACCTGCAGCAGCAGAGGAAGGTGTTGGGAGGGACTGTGTCAGGGCCACCAGGGTGACAACTCCTGGCTCAAGGTGTCAAATCCAAGTGCATGGAATGGAGACACCCTCTGAGTATGGCTCTGGGGACCCAGACCCAGAAGACAGAAAAGCAAATAAAGAAGCCTATTTCCCTATGTCACTGACCCCTGAGACATCGCTGCTCAAACTTGTGCTGGAGAACACACACTCACTGCCAAAGACTCCTCCTATCTTGGCAGTTCAGCCTGTCTGGGTACCAGCCTCAAGCTTCATGGTGCCACGCAGAGCAAAGGAACCATAGACAGTTGGAAGAAGAGCAACTCTAGAAGAACTCAAGCTCCCTGAAACTAGGTCATTTGTACATTCATTCTGCCAGCCTTAATTTTAACAGAAACATGTTTAAAGACTTGGAAGGCAGAGGGACAGAGAGAAACAGAGACAGAAACTGCCAAGGCAAGAGAGAGAGACATCTCCGATCTACTGGTTCATTCTCCAGATGTCCACAATATCCAGGGCTAGGGCAGACCAAAGCGAGGAACAGCATTTCTCTTGGGCCGTCTTCTACTGCCTTTCCAGGTGTGCTTACATAGGGAGCTGGACCAAAACTGGAATTAGCACTCTGCTAGGGATGTCCCTTCAGCAGAATTTTTACAGAATAACTTGGCTGCTTACAACTTCCTGGGAAAAGAAATAAGCCTCTCGCAGTTGACCTATATATCTTATAACTTAATTCTTCTGCTTTTCTGAGTTCCAAGTCAGGCCCAGAGATGGAGTATTAAGAAAGGGACATGCACCTGACACACTAAGCAGTCATAGCATTGGCCCCCAGAATGCCTGTGCCTGGCAGCTATAGTGAGCAAAAAAATTTTTTTTTCTTTTTGCCTTTAAAACATCTTGATTGAGCAGGCAAGTACCATTAGATGGTCAATGGTGCTCACATTGGAAGTTGCACAAATAGCACTTAAAATTTTGGTTCTGCCCCACAGAGCCACAACTCTGGAAAGCCACACAGCAGCCAGCCTGTGCATTCATGCACTGGGGGAATGGGTGGAGACAGGAACTGAGTAAGCAGCCCCAACAGTAACGGAGAGGACAAATCATCTTACTTTTGGCAACGCAGGAATGCAAAATCATGCAAAAGCCATTATTTTTTTCCCTGCAAGGGCAGACATTTGGCCTAGCAGCTAAGACCCTGGTTAGGGTTTAGCAGTTGGGACTCTGATTAACACTCCTACCTACCAACCATATCCACGTGCTTTGGGTGGAACCTTGGCTCTGGCTCCTGACTCCCCTTTCCTGCCAATGGGGTATTGGGACCCTGGGAGGTATGCAGTTGGCCCAAGGAGTTGATTCCTGAGAGTCCTGAGGGAGGCCTGGCTGGAGCTCCTGCTTTCTGACTGCAGCTCTGGACCTAGCCAGAAAGAACTAATGCTCTCTCTCATACTCATTCTCTCTCTTTCCCACCAACATCTCTCTCATGTAAAAAAAATTAATATTAAAAAACACATATTTTGCAAAGCATAAGGTGCAGATTCCTGAGCTCCTGCCCTCTTAGAGAGGCTAATGGGCACATTGATACCTAGAAGCACATTCTGAATCCCTCGTGATGCAAAGTGGCTGCAAACCTTCCCCAGCATCACTTCCTTCAGCATCACTCCTCAGATAGACTCTGAATGCCATCAAGCACACCATGCCTCACAGGAAGCTGCCTGTGGCACCAACTACTACCCAAAAGCCCCAGTGATCACAGGATAGAGTTTTCTGGAGCAGCGAGCCTCATTGCCTTACAGCCATACTAAGAAAGCAGGCATATAGCAAAGGAGGCACTGTGGATGGGCTAAACAGTTCAGGTACCATTAGCAATGTCAGGAGACACTTTGCGGGGAGGGAAGGAAGCATCTAATAGGGACAGACCAAGGTTTCAGCAAGATATCACAAAGCATTGCCTTCCCCAAATGTTGGTAGTGCCTGGGCTCAGGAAGTACCAAGTCAGGGAGCCAGGGGACCAAGCATGGAGTCCAGGAAAGAGGAGATGGGTACCTGATTTTTGAGCCAGCACACCAGAACCAGGGAACACACTGGACTCGGAGGCTCAAGAGGGTCATTTCAGGGTGAATGAAAGGTGAAGCTACTGCATGGAGTAGACAGTCAACTGAGAGAGAAACTCATTACAGAAATCCTAAATTGTTCTCAGAAGTTTGGGTATGTATGACAAGCCAAGAGAAAGATGAGACAAACTCAGTGTCCCTTGCAAGCCCACAAGGACCCATTTCAGAGGCTGAAGGGGCACACTCAGACCTAAACGGCTTCTCCTTGCCTCCCGCCATGTCCCCTGCAGGAGAGAAAAGGAAGCGAGTGGAACCTTCTGTTTTGCATCCAGCACAAGAGGGAGGCACTTTGCTGGCTGTGAACAAAGGTCCCCAGCAGACAGTAAGCACCATGGAAACGGAGCTGCGCAGGAGGAATGCGGGCAGCCGACAGGCTTCACAGGCCACTGGCAGGCGCAGGCGGGGCCTCCTCCTGCCCAGACCTCGTCAGCCTCCCTGCTCTGACTGCCCCTGCTACATGCCCAGGGCCCATGGACTCAGGGGTCGGGGGGAAGTGGCACAGTTCTCTTTTCTAACTGGGAATGGAAAGGAAAACTTACTCCTTCCAAAGACATAGGGAGATGGGGAACCCCCACAGATGTGGACACCTGCACAGGTGCACTGCCCCACCAGTCAAGCACACATGCACACACACGCGTGCACACAAATTCTAGCACTGGCATAGCAGGGCACAGCCTGCTGTGCTTTCAAAGTTCTCTGTCTTCTCTCTGCAGAAGACTCGCAGTCTGGCACAGTAGCTAGGGGCAGCCTCTGGAATTGAAGAGCCTGGGTTTGAATCCCAGCTCTGCTGATCATGGGGGTAAGACATTGGGCCCTCACTATTTCCCTCATTAGTTCCTAGCCTCCTTAGTTGTGAAATGGGTCGGATTGCTTGCATCTTAACAATGGCACAAAGCACCAGTTATGACATGTCTCCATGACACCAGGTACAATCTTAATTTATACTGCTGAAATGAACACATCTATGTATTTATAACTTATGTGTTTATAACTGGACACATACTCCATTAGAAATAATCTGCCCTCAGGGCTGATGCTTTGGCTCAACTGGCTAATCCTCCACTCCTGGGATCCCACATGGGCACGAGTTCATGCCCTGGCCACTCCACTTCCCACCTCCATTCCAGCTCCCTGCTTATGGTCTAGGAAAGCAGTAGAGGATGATCCAAAGCCTTGGGAACCTGCACCCATGTGAGAGACCTGGAAGAGGCTCCTGGCCCCTGACTATGGATCAGCTCAGTTCTGGCCATTGCAGCCACTTGGGGAGTGAACCAGGGGATGGAAGATCTTTCTCTCTGTCTCTCCTCGCTGTAAATTTGCCTTTTCAATAAAACTAAATAAATCTTAGGAAAGGAAAGAAAGAAAGAAAGAAAGAAAGAAAGAAAGAAAGAAAGAAAGAAAGAAAGAAAGAAAGAAAGAAAGAAAGAAAGAAAGAAAGGAGCTAATTCTGCCCTCTTCCCTAGCACATCACAGGCTCCTCTCAGACGCCTATGAGAGTAAAACTAGCAAACAACAGTCTCACACCCTGGCCCCGGCAAGACCAGGATTCAGGTAGCTGCTTGCCAGCTCCAGGTTAAGCACTGCCTAGTGGCCTCTGCACAGTGACCTCACTGGCTAAGGAGCCCCTTACCACCATGCGTGTGCACACACACACATTGCACTCTCTGTCCTTCTCCCAAACAGACCGTATGGTTGACAGGCCCACAAGAAGGGGAGAGAGGGGAGAGAAGATTCATCCTCCCCCAACAGACGCGTACAGCAGCCTGTGTCAGGTGAGGCAAGTCCTCTCTGAAGTGCTGCTGGGCCACTGGACAAAGGACGGCCGGAACGAACGGGCCCACAAGCCCTCAGCCAGCATTCTGTCCTTCTCCCCTGCTGGCCACAGGAGAGAAGCCCTCACAGCTGCAACTGCCATTCAAATGGCAGGGAGAATGTCCTGCCCAGCCCCATCTTCCCACAGAGTGTCCTTGCTGCCAATGACACTCTGGCTCCTGACTCAGACAAGGTGGAGGTGTGTGTGTGTGTGTGTGTGTGTGTGTGTGTGTGTGTGTATTTTATAGCTCAAACGCAGCTGCCCTAGCTCCAAGGTCAAAGTGCCCTGCCCCAGTACTGACAGTCCATGCAAAAGAGTTCATGTCCCACTCTCAGAAATCAAAAACTAAGCTCTCAAGCTATGCTGAGTCCAGTCGGTACATCTGTATGTTACACTTAAGGTCCAGACAGCAATTAAGAGCCAGCAAAACACTAACTACCTTACCTGTTCATTATGGAAACTGGAAAGTCTACCTTAATCATCTTTAGCTAAAGAGTCCATTCTCCTTGAGTTTTGGTTTTAAATGAAAACACTCTAAGGAAAAAAATCAATTCTCCTTCCAGGTGATCACTGCCATGGTTTGAATTTGTTCCACAAACATCCACATGGTAAAAATTTGATCCCCAAATTCAAGTTGGGGCCTTTGTGAGATACTTAGGATTACCTGGGGGCAAAAAGGTACATGGTGGCATTGTAGCTTCATAAGCTAGCACACCTGCTTCATTTTAGCCACAAGATGCTTCTGGCATGTTATGACATGGCAAGAAAGGCCCTCTGCAAGACACAGAGCAGGTGCCAGAGCCATGGTCCTAAACTTGTCAGCCTTCAGACTCATGGGCCAAAAAACGCCTCTTCTCTTCCAGAACTAACCCAACAATTGCAACGACCAGCATGTGCATAAGCTGATTGGGGTGACAGACAATGCCGGACCCTGTACTGGTAAGCACACATAAGAATCAGGTCTGGGATCTCCTCAGACGAAGTTTCTTTGGAGATCCCTCCAACTGAACTGCTGATCTCAGAACCCCAACCATGAAGAGACTATGTCAGCCAGTGGATCCTGAAGAGATTTCATTGTGATTGGAACAGTGAGATTGGCAGCAATTCAGAACAGTTGAACTATCAAAACTGCTTGAGCAGGACCCTTGGAGCATGCCCCACATCAGGGACCTGGGATGGGTGGGAGGCTGGGTGGAGCTTCCCCCTTTGTTTCTCCCCGACACCAGATACAGGGGGAAAATGATGATATTAGTGTGGAAACAATGGTCTTACCCACTTTCCTGTAGCCCTTGACTGTTTGTACTCTAACCAACTATGTAAGTTTATTAAAAAAAAAAAAACAACAACAAAAAAAACAGCACCCAGAGGCCTCCACCCCAGCCTCTGCTCCACATTGCTTTTTAGCTGTTTGCCCCTGGGACAAGTTGCTTCATCTCTCTGTGCCTGTTCCCTCATCTGTCAGACTCAATCAGCAGTTCTCAATCAACATTCCTTGATGCTCTGAGACCCTGAGATTTCTCCATGGAAAAGGAAGCTGGAAATGGCCAGGAAAATATCCACCCAACTTCTACCAGGGCAGCCCACATTCATCTGTTTCATTCCTTGGAACTTTGCACACACTCCTTGAGATTTTCAGGACTTGACGCTCTCCAGATGTCTCCTAAAACAAGTCTTCTGTGACCTACTCAGGCTGCTTCACTCAGGACACTCTGGGGGCAGAGAGAGAGCTGTGGGTAGGGGAAAGAGCTCAGGGATCGTGGCTCGCAGGGGACACAGAAATTACCTGTGATTCTGCCCACGGTTCCTTTCACAAAGTTGCCAGCAAACCCAGCCACGTGTGCCCCAAGACTGTAGCCAATAAGGTGGACGTTTGCCAGGGAGAAGTTGCCTTGCTCCTGCAGGGAATACACAGGGGTGTGAGCCACAGGATGCACTCGTAAGCCCTCAAATCCCCCACCAATTCAGCAGCTGGGTCACAGCAGAGGAGGAGACACTGGGACAGAAGTTCCCCAGGACATTGCTGGCACTGCTGGCCCTTCCACATGTCCAGGTCACAGTCAGGGCAGGTCAAAAGGACAAGGCGGCACTTCAAATGCCAGGTGCTGCTGGTAGGTGGACAGTGTGACAACAGCTGTGCATCTGACCATCCCCCCACTGCCACCACCGTGTTTTTGTTCTATCAGTTGGTGTCTGACAGGGCACTTTCTGTGATGGAGGTGTCTGTGGCAGCCTGCAGTGGCATGCTCCCTGCCTGCTCCCTGCAGCCATGACCAACACCCTGGCAGCAGAGCTGCCAACCCGCCCACCACAAGCCCTCCCGGGACTCCAGCATTAAAACCTTGTCCCCAACAGAACACCCAGCCAGCGAGGGAAGCAGACCTGATGAAATACAGCTTGTCATCTGTGACTCGGGAGCCAAATTCCCAGCAACCAAAGCAGTGGAGAGAAGGACTACTCTAGAATCCTCCCAGAATTCCTCAGATACCTTAGACAGAGGAGGGCCTGGCTGGAACTGCCAAGAGGAACGGGTCATTTACCCGGACCACGGCTCTCAGGAAAATCTCTGGTCTATACAAGGCCTTCAGATATTATTATTTTTTTCTATTTTAAACCCAGATCTAGCTCAGGAAGGCAAGAGACGACTTCAGCACTGAAGATCACAAGCCTAACCCAGCTTCTGGCCATTCCCAATCAAGCCCAAGGCATCACTTTCTAAAATCAACAAGTAACAACCTGTAAGGCCCAATGGCCAAATAGCAAATCTAGTGATAACAGGAAACAGGGCAGCGATCTATCTGCCATGCAAAGGCCCTCTCAAGGACACACACACACACACACACACGGGGAGTATTTCAAAGAAGACTTAATTCAGCAATAATTTTAATCCCAGAGATTTTGGTCAAAGCCAAGAAGGTCACAGTACACAGGGATGGGCCACTATTTCTCAGGAAGGTTCATGATGAAGGTCCTTACTGGGGAAAAGCCCCTGGTTACCTGCAGCCAGTCAAGCATCCTTGCCACACTGTGGCCCACCCTGCTGGTGTTATTGACTGCATCCGTGTACAACTGGTGCGCCAGGGGGAGCCAGTTCACCACCACCACGTTGGCGTCGCTCTCTCTGGTCTGTAGGGCTGACACAAGTTTATGCAGCCAGTTTTCAAGCATGCCACTCATCTGTAGAGAAAAGGGGAGACATTTCCATTCTGACTCTCACCTTGCATTTCAGAAATCCTAATGAATGGGATATCTGATCCCATGATCTTCTTCCGAGTCAAGTGTAGAACCTTGGCTGCATGGATGCAAGGCCTGGAGCAGCCAAATAGGTGTGCAGGAAGAACTGCTACATGGATGTCTTCTGCCTCTGTTCCCGGTCCTAGTTCTCCTGTGGGAATGTTCATAGCTGCTGTCCTCCACTGTCACCTCACTGTGAGACATCCTCAGTGGTCTGGCAGGCTTCAGGTTTGAGTCCCCTCTTCCAGGCAGGCAAATGGCCTAGTGTATCCTTCAAAGGCAGCTGGGGAGGTTGCCCTGGAGAATCTACTTCTCTCTGAGAGACGCAGGGAGTGCCTGTCTCCTAGGCAAGCACGACATTAACAAATGACCCCTTCCCACAACCCCTATCTCTGCTGTTGCTCTTGACCTCGAGGAGGGGGAAAACTGCCCCCTGGAATCCCAAATGAGAACTCAGAACACAGTTTCCCACAAACACACAGTTATACATGGTGACGAGGAGCCGACTGTAAGCCTATCCACAAGAACATTATCGAACAAATAGATATTCTATGCTCAGCCTGGGAACCCAAACCCTACTGACAATCTTGCTTCTCTGGGAAACTGCTGTTCCAAGTTCCAAACAGATGACAAAAGAAGTTTCTGGAATGCAACCCGTTTGTAAGTTGCAGGCAGTTTGTATTTGCATTTTGACAGAAAGTCTTAAATGGATTCAAATGCATGATTCTAGCTGTAGGCTTTGGGATAAGGATGGATGGACAGGTCCTTAATCATCTTCATTACACAGATAGATAACCATTCCCCCATCCTCCATCCCCAATCCGCACCACTAGGGGTGGACCTAAAGACCCAGAAAACATGTAATGGATACGAATTTCTCATCATTAGGAGCAAAAATGTCCCCTCCCAATTAGCCTGGGCAGAAATCTGCACACTTAATGGTGACATTTTCCTACCAACTGTCACTATGTGAATGAACAAACCCCTTGCTGGTCAAAAGCTTCTGAAGTTGAGCGTCAAAGCCCTTTTTTGTTGAAGTTTGTCATGGGTCTTTCAATGGGAATTGCTCAGAGAGGGCACAGAAAAGCTGCAGGGCCTTCAAACGGAGCCATCTCTATGCAAACAGGAGGGCACTGTGCCAACGGCACCAGCCACTCAGGCCAGCTGGCTTCTCACAGCTTTTTGGAAGCAGTCAACTTGCTGCAGCTCAGCTTTGCTGGGTAGGGTGGGACAGCCCCTTCGAGGCAGTGGTTGACCAACGTAATTAAGTGTAATTAGAGGGGTCCTTCAGCGCCAGCCAAGCTGGGCTGCTGCCCTCAGGAGAGCCACTTTCTGAAAGCCGGTGGCATGCCAGCACTAAATACCACCCTGCTGGAGTCCACAGAACTCCCTCCATGCAGTGCCCATTACATCCTTCACAGCTGTCTGAAATACAAGCAGCCCACAAGAAAATGGTGGGGGCAGAGGGTTTGAAATCTGGAAGCAACAGGATTCTGTTTAATTGGCCAAAACAAAGGGAAGCAAATCTGGTGCAAAGCAGCAGACAGCTCCCACCCAGGCTCACCGTCCATCCATGAATGATGAAGAAGGTTTTGGCTGTCATGTTGAAACCGCAGTCCGCTAAAGGCTGGCTGTGGCCCACAGAAAGGTAGCAGCCTTCATGTTCTGGGTCCCTGGAAGTACGGAGATTAAACCTCACAGTGGCTTTGGCCATGGCCCATCCCTCTGTGGTTGTGTGGAGCTCATCTGGGGAAAAAGAACAGAGGATGGGTGCATCTGGAAGACCTGGGGAGTGAGGTGTCTGGTTAAGTTCCAGTTCTACCTCAAGCCAATCATGTAAGTCGTGGACACCTGTTTATGGCTCCTTGACCTTCCAGAATAATTGTGGAAATATAAAAGTGACCTCTCCTCTATGTTTAGTAATTTTTTCTTAAGATTTATTTCTTTTGGAACCAGCATGGTAGCTTGGTAACTAAAGTCCTCATCTTGCATGCTTCAGAATCTCATGTGGATACCAATTTGTATCACAGTAGCCACATTTTCCAACTAGCCCCCTGCTTGTGGCCTGGAAAAGCAGTTGAGGATGGCCCAAAGCCTTGGGACCCTGCACCCGTGTGGGAGACTAAGAGGAAGCTCCTAACTTCTGGCTTCGGATCGGCTCAGTTCCATCTGTTGTGGCCATTTGGGAATTGAATCAGTGGACAGGTCTTTCTGTTTCTCCTTCTCTCTGTAAATATGATTTTCCAATAAGAATAAATAAACCTTTAAAGAAAAAAAGAGATGCTTTTATGTTATTTAAAAGCAGAGTGACGGAAAGAGAGAGAGAGAAAGACAAATCTTCCATCTTCTGTTTCATTCCTCAAATGACAGAAACCTGAAGTTACATCCGGGTTCCCACATGGTGGCATGGACCTAAGCACTTGGGCCATCTTCTGCAGCCTCCCCAGGCACATTAACAGAGAGCTGGATGAGAAGCAGGGCAGCCAGGACTGGAACAGCACTGTCAGGGGATGCCACTATAAGACATGGCTTAGCTCTCTGTGTCACAATGCTGACCCCAGGAGTATTAATTAATACTCATATTAATTACAGTGACTCTAAAAAAAATGAGTTCCCTTGTTGCTTTTCTTTCATCTTCCCTATCCAAAGGACTTCTTCCATCCCGCAAGTCCCTATTTTATAGTATGGGTCATCAACTTTTTTTTCTTGAAACACTTGAGATCAGTTGAATTTCATAATTCATAAACTGTCCAATTGTAGGCATTATGGAAACATACACCATGCCACTTCTCACACTCGTAATATCCTACCTAGGAAACAACCACACTCATATTTTTCTAGGGAAATTGTATGACTATGCAGACTTGATGGCAACAAATGAAGATTCTAGTCAACCTCCTACAAACAGCTCAGGTTAGGTTTTGTGGTCAAATGTGTTCAAACCAGGTAAGGCCAGGTCCTGTTGCCAAACAAGTTAGCAACACATTTTCTGATTTTGAGAGATTATGGGTCTTGGAATTGGAGGTAAGCAACTGTTGAGACTTTAATCAATGTGTTTCCCCCAAGGTCTCTATCTCAGTTCCAGAACTTACTCTAAAGACCCCATGCATCCTCAGTAACCCAGGAAGGGCTGGGCAGGTGCCAAACATTCATACAGTTGAGTCAACAAATGCCTGGAGCCATGCAAAATCCCAAAGCGCAGTAGCACAGCCCCTCTCAGCGCCACTGCTGACACACAGTGTCACCCAGGAGGTGGCCATGGCCCAAAGGCACAGCCACATCTATCACAGTCCCTAGGAAGGCACTACCACCATCATCTTCCTTTGGACAGTCATAAACAGACCCTACCCAGCAACTCTTCCACCATCCTGGTGAGCATCACTCACTAACAGAATAGAAGTTTCCGGAGCCAACTCTTCTGATCTCCCAGCTATCAAAGACAGCAAAAAGCATCCCAGGAGCCTCTGTCACCCCAGAGCTGAGAAGCAAAAGGAATCATGGAAAGAGAAACCACCCTGGTGGAGAGATTGGGGAGAGAGGGGAGAATGCACCACCCACAAAAGATAAGGTTGCAGAAAATGCAGCTGAAAGCACAGGAGCAGAACTCAGGCTAACCCTCATGAAAGCAAAGAACAAAAGCCCCTGAACCAGCAGACATCTGAGCCGTGGCCATAAAAAAGCCCAGAAATCCCACTGCAGAGAGGCCAGGTGGGCAAACCTGGGAAAAAACAAGTCTGTCAGCTGCCTGGGACAGATGGATGGGTTCAACTTACACAGAAGGTTCCCTACAGTCTTCTGGCTACTCCCGCTCCGAGTCCCTTCAGCCTCTGGGACGCCAAGATTGCTCTGCAGTATCAGTGTCCTCATGGCTGGTTCAACTCCTTGCTGAAGGGCTAAGGTTTCTGGGAGTCCAAGTATTACAATGGCAGCACCTGTCACGCACCCCCACTCACCATGCCTCTCCATAGTACTGAATACTGGGCACCCCTGCCTACCCGCCCACCAGGGCAAGGTCCATCACCTGCTTCGCTCACCTCTGTCTCCACTCCTAGCAATGACACTAAGCAAAAATGGGATGATGACTTTTTTTTTTTTTAATGAGTGCGATGGCTCAGCATTCAAGCATATAACTCAAGGCTGGAAGGAAGGAACACCGGCATTTTTTTTCAGGACAAGAACTAGAGCCCGGCTTCCAGTTTGTACTAGAGTTGGAGACTAAGCCCATCCATTCAACATCATCCTTCCCGCACTGCACCAGCTGACATGGACCAGCATCACCAGGCCTAGGTTCAAGTAAGGAGTAGAAGATGAAATGTTGGGGTTTGGTGTAGGGGCTCCCCAGCAGCACACTGCTAAGTGGGAAATTGACGGAGTAATGAGAGAGCCAGCCTTCTCTCCACCAGGGCAGCCTACCTCCAAGAGAACAGATTGCCCTTACAGAAGCCAAGAAATGCTAAAAAAAACTTTGCAGGAGGAGGGGGTGGGAAGAAAAAGTTGCTAGGGAGACAGAAGCTCGCAAGTAAGTAGGAGGACAGGCAGCTGCCGGCGGAAGCCATGCACCCACCACATGGCGCCCGCAACCGCAGCCGGCCTCCACTACACCTTTACGTTCCAAACACTTGCACTAGCCTGCCAACGAGGGGTCCGGACAACTTGCGCTAAGCCCCATCGCCTCGCGCAGGTCGCCAAGAAGAGGACAAGGAGGACTTGTGGGCAGGCAAGTGGCTGTCTGGATGTGCCGAATTCAAGAAACCATACAACGAAAGTGGCCCAAGGCGGAAAGGGCATGCACTCCGCCAGCCCGCGCAGTCTCTGGGACAACTTGCCTTAGGGTGCGGGGCAAGGGAGGCTGCCCTCGCCTGGAATCGCCTGGGAGCACGGAGACCCCAAAGGGGAAAAAACGGCAGCCAAGTGGGAAAGCAAGAAGGATTTCGAGGATTTCAGAACCAGCAAGGCGGGCCAGAAACAGAGTGAGCGAGTCTGGGGATGCTGAGAACGAAGTGGGGAGGCTGGCGATAAAAAGAAAGGCACTTTACCTTCCTGCGGTCCCTCGGCACCAAGGGGCGCGGAGCTTCCCGCGGCCAAGCAACAATAGGCGCTCCAGAAACAGAGCAGAGGAATGCAGCGTTTCATCCTCGCCCGCCACGCCCCCTCCCCTAAAACAAGATTTAAAAAAAAAAAAAGGAAAAATAAAAGCACCACTCCTCCACTCAGCGGCGTTTCCAACCGCCAGGAGACCACAGGTAGGTTGCCTTCTCCCGACTGGCGGGTGAGCTGGCCCGCTGCAGGCGGAGAGGAGAGATGCACCGGCCGCGGCTGAGCCGCGAGCCCGGGAACCGCGCGATGAGGGGCTCGTACAGAACCGGGACGCGCGCTCCCGCGCCGCTGGGGCTCGCCGCTGTCACACCGCGAGCTCCTGGAGAGGTAGTTTTTTAAAGTATCCCAGTCATCTGACCCATCGCCAGATGGTGATTTGCATAATTTATGCACGATCCTGAATTCTGATTGGTCACACCTTCGCTGACGTGGGGCCCGAGACTCCCCAAAGTTTGAATGAAAGAACCGCACACCCATCGCGTGGACGCCCGCACTCGCAGCCTCGGGAGGCCACGATTCTAGCCACGCTCCCTTCCTCTCAGGTCTCTCTCAGGGACTTCCTAATCCTCCGGCTTCTCCCAGCAGCCCCCAAAGGGGTGTTCCTTCTCCCCCAAATCCTGGGGACGCAATACGACGAGAAGAGCAGTCTCCCCTTGCAAGGCGCCAAGCCAGTCAAGACCCTTCTGCCGGGCGCCCGGCTTGGGAGTTTCTCCATCAGCCCGCTCCCTCTTGGGTGCGCAGCTGAAGCTGCAACAGGTGCAGGCAAAGTGGTTACCCAATCTCCCGGCCGCGCCGAGAGGTTGTGAGCCGCCAGGCCGGCGCTTCAGGTCGTGCAGACCCTGGCTTGGAGTCCTGGTCCCCATACCAGCTGCAGACCTCTGGTCGAACCAGCAACTTCTCTAAGGCCAGCGTCCAGTCCCGTCCGCCACGCGCGGTGATAACAGACCCTGTCCTTGCGGAATACGGGGGAAAGTTAGGAGTCCCGGTAGCCAAGCGCTTCAGGCGGGCTGGGGCGCGAGGTAGGCGCTTTCCTGCAACCGGGGTGGGGGACCATAGGAGTTCTAAGGCGACCCTCCCCCAAAAGACAAGAAGCCGAGCTTTAGGGGTGCAGAGGAGGCACCGGCGTCTAAGACCCAACCTCGAGCAACGTGCCGTACGTTAACTCCCTAACGAGTTAACTAAAGCACCTTTCCCCTCCGTTTTCTCCACCATTTCTTCTTTCCTTTTCTTTATCGATCTAGGTCCCCAGAGCTCGGCTTGGAATCCTCCTGTAGCACAGGGGCCTGGAGTCGGAGCCAGGACACACGCGGGGAAGGCGGGGCGGGAGAGGTGGACCACTCGCGGTTGCGCTCAGCGTCCTGCCTTGCTCGAGTCTAGAGAGCGACTCCACCAAGAGGCACCCTTGACTGCCGTCTGGAATCGTCCCCGCCGCAATGAAAGAATCTCTTTGTTGATATTCGTTCTGGAGAGGCTGTCTGGATTTGCGGGGGGCAGGTGGAGGATGTTGACAGTCCTCCGAAAGCAGCTGTAAATGTTACCCTCAGAGAATTTGCTCCCACTGCCCTCCCTAAGTTTGCTCCCACTGCCCTCCTGTTGGAAATAAAGCAGGTGTGAGTGAGGTGTTAGCTGAATTCCACAGATGGAAAAACCAGAAGTCTCCAGGGACCCCAGTGTTGCTGGAAGGAACGGCCAGGTCTCTCTCCTCCGCTCCAGGTTTGACTTGACTAACGACCTCTCTATAGGAGCCGGGAGCCACCTTGTCTCTTCTTCCGCCACAGAAGCAGAGGATAACCCAGAATCAAAACCCTCCTCTGTCGAAGTCACAAGCAGCCAGATTCCCTTGAGCATGACCTGGGCTGTGCGGTGGCTGTCTCTTGGGCACTTTTGTCATAGAGGAGACACCCTAGGGGATCCAAGTATTCCAGGCAGGTCAGTGACCCTGCCTGGTAGAACAAAACCAAAACAGGATTAAAGAACATAAAGAAGTTTTTAACTGTCAAGGCTGTCAACCCATTTAAGCGTTGCTGCTGGCTGGTTAGAGTGCCCCCCTGTGTCTCCACATTAAAATATCATGTGGGATCTCAGAAAGGAGTTAATGGGATTGGGACGACCACATGAGGAGGTGTGGATAGCACCAAGCTGTTGGGCTTCGTGTTTTTCCTCCTGGATGGAGGACTTCCTGGCTTACAGGTCTCCATGGAAACTTCTCTTGTGTTACAATTGAAGTAGCAAAGTTTCAGGTTTGCCCTTCCCAGCTAGGAGAGTGACACCTCCCATCATGACAAGAGCTTCATTCCCACTACAGACACTGAAAAACTAACATTTGACTTTCCAGCCTCCCTTGCAGCTAGTGTTCCCAGGTTAAACACAGCACTCAAGCAGAAGTGGAGGAGGCTAGAGGCTCAGGCTGCTCTTCTGGTTGCCAGTGGTGCCGTGACCAGACCTTTGTGCAAGCAGCTGGGCGCCGCTGCTCCCTGCCTTCACGTTGTCCTCTGAGCCCTTACACGTGTGGAACAGCAAGTCACAGTGATGCCAGCTTGAGTCCATCTCTGAGGGAAGCTGACCACCGCTGGCCTGACGCCATTCCTGCTATAAAGTTTGAATGAACCTTCCTGATAAGGTGCCTGAGGGGGCTGTTTCTGAAAAAAAGAAAGAAAGAAAGGAATGTGGGAATCCAAGTTCCAACCCCAGAGCCCTCACAAAACCTTGGTTCCTCTCTGTGAGAGACATGTCATGCTACAGCTATGTGCCAATCCCTTATGTAAGCTGCCCAATACACTCTCCTTACACGGAGCTTCCGCCTTCAGTTTTTCATTCACAGGATTCCGCTCAGATCATGGACATGATGCTCTCTGCCCTGCCAACACAACATTCAAGTACCAACTGCTACCCAATAACTTTTTAATGATTTGTCTTTTGCATAAATTATTCAGCAGTTACTTACCTTGCTTGCAGCTAAGAAGGTGACTTCATCTCTTTAGCAGCCATGGGGGAGGGATGGGAGAGGGGAATTACACTGGGCAGAGCTCCCCAGAGAATGTTCTGGAAGCTATCCCTCACAGACGCTAAGTAGAAGATTACAGTCACGGGCTTGGCATTGTGGCATAGTAGATGAACTCTCCGCCAACGATTCAGTGCCAGCATCCCTTAGGGACACAAGTTCCTGTCCTTGCTTCTCCAATTCCAATCAAGCTTCCTGCTTATGACTTGGGAAAGCAGCAAAGGATGGCTCAAATCCTTGGGCCCCTGCACCCACGTGGGAGACCCAGATGAAGCTCCTGGTTCCTGGCTTCAGATAGGTTCAGTTCTGGCTGCTGTGACCATTTTTGGGAGTGAATCAGCACATGGAAGATCTCTCTCTCTGTCTTTCCTTCTCTCTGTAAATCTGCCTTTCCATTAAAAATAAATCTTTTAAAAAATTGTTTTCATCTGTTTGTTTTTTACATGTTATAGTGTGTTTGCTGGAGAGATTTTCACTTCAGCTGTGGCTTGCTTCCTATCTCTGCAGGAATTGCTCATACCTCCTGATCTGGCCTTTGCCTTAGTGGACACTGGTTCTTCTTGAGTTTCGGACACTGGTCTGAGCCCTTCCCGCAGGGAAGCCTTCCCTGCCCTCTGGCTTAGGCTTCCTACACGCATATTGCCTTTCTTTGATAAAAATCAGCTGCTTCATTGGGAGATGTAATTTGCTTGGCTCCTTGCCTTGCGTCCAGCACCCTGTTGGCGTGGAAGCAGTGACTGGGTCTGCTCTTCCTTGCTGTTCTTCTCCCAGAGCCCACCACAAAACCTAGCAGCCAGAATGAACTCGTGAAATGTTTACTGAGTGACTTCTCAAATGCAGTATGGGGTGCATCTCCAAGAATGGGACAGAACATTCAACTTTTGCCAAGCCCAAGCCTTTCTGCAGTATGCCCTCAGTGCTGTCTGTGTGGGGGCAGCCTTGAGTAGGTTTGTCGCAGTCTCCTTAGGTTTTATGCTTTGCCTCCCATGCAGATCATGAGCTCCACTTTCTTGGATTCTCCCATTCAGACGTCACCTAATGTAATTCCCCTTGGTAAAGACAGGCATGGGACTATGTGGTGGCTCAACTGGTTAATCCTCCACCTTCAAATGCCAGCATCCCATACAGGCACTGATTCATGTCCTGGCTGCTCCATTTTCCATCCAACTCTCTGCATGTGGCCTGGGAAAGCAGCAAAGGATGACTTAACTCCTTGGGACCCTGCACCCACATAGGAAGCCCAGATGAAGCTCCTGGCTCCTGGTTTTGGACTGACTTGGCTTCACCCATTGTAGCCATTTGAGGAGTAAACCAGCAGGTGGAAGATCTTTCTGTCTCTCCTTCTCTCAGTAAATCTGCCTTTCCAATAAAAATGAGTAAATTTTTAAAAATAATCATGCTATACGCCACAAAAATGAATGATTACTACATCTTAATTCCAAAAAGTACAACTTTGTGGCATGTAAAATATAAATTGATTAAAGTTATTTTGGAGAGACATTTTCATGCAACCTCATTCATGCATGGTAGTGGCTTTCTTGTCCCTGTGCATAGGTTTAAAAAGTTAGAGTTAAATAAGGCATAAGGTAATTGAAGAAATTCCTCCAAGGAACCAGTCAGGCCTGTCACATTTCCATGAGGACAGGCAGTGCAGGGCAAGTGGTCATTTTATCAGTTGACCTAGGGGATAAGACACAGGGGACAGTTGTTGGGCTTCATTCTCCACCCCTTAATGAAACTCCAAACTGGCTTAGCTCAGGCTGGTATTTTAACTCACCAGACAAATAACCTCCAGCTAGTCTTATGTGCAAAAGTCAAATGACCACTGATTAGATCAGCCATGAATGTGAAGACCCTTGGGCCCAGTATAATGATCTAGTGACCAAATCCAGGATCCCATATGGACATTGGTTTTTGTCCTGGCTGCTCCACTTCTGATCCAGCTCCCAACTGGAAAAGCAGTAGAGGACAGCTCAAAGTCTTGAGACCTTGAACCCACATGAGAGACCCAGAAGAAGCTCCTAGCACCTGGCTT